GGTTTTCCGGTGAAGATGTTAGGGTTGTTCGGACCTCGGTTGCCTTTCCTGATGTTGTTGATCGCTGCCGCAATATCGTCGATGGTTGGGTGGCCGGGTCGTCCGACATTTGGCTGACGATTGGTGTTGAGTGTCGGAGCTGGTGGTTGGGGACCCGGGTTGGTCTGTTGAAAAGGGTTTCGTCGGGGAGGGCGTATTGGATTTTGAGTCGAGTTACCCCACTTAGTTTGATTGGGCCAGGTGCGGAAGACAGAGACGTGGGACAATGGTGACGAGTCGAAACGAAGAGATTCGCCGTACGCGGAGGTAATGATAGTTTGGATATCTCGAGCCGTGACGTCTGGCTTTTTGCCAAGTTGGAGGGAGATGTTCTGGAAGAGTTGGGACCGAGACATTGATGAGGGATCAGGGACGACAGCCTGAAGAATAAGACTCTCAACCAGAGGCGAGAGGCCGGCACCAGCTTTATGTAAGCCGGCGAAGGTTTCAAAGATCCTGTTGAATAGTCCGGGAATTTGTGATGGCTCGGTGGACGGACCAGAAACCCGTAACTTGAGCAGCTTGTCAATGAGTTCCATCTGACGAAATTGAACAGTGCCTTGGAAGTCAGTTTGAACGGCATCGTAGGCTTCAGTGCCTTTGGTGTATTGGTCAACGAGAGATGCGAGCTCATCGTGGATTGTGATTTGAATAAGGAATAACAAGCAGGTATTCTCCTGGTCCGATAATTTGGAATAGTTGTCGGATTTGTCAAAAAAATTTGGGTGGCCGAGGGTGAGGAGAACGATACGGGTGAGACCGCGTTTCCACTTATCGAAATTGGACCCATCGGCGGTGAGTTGCTCAATGTCCTGTTTATAAATGCTAGGCTGTTGTAAGAATTTAGCACAAGGTGTTATCTCAGACGATGTCAATGTCGACATTGGGGTAGGTCGTTCAATCGGAGATGGTGGTCGTATGGGAGGTGTGATTTCCTGGGTTTGCCGAGTGAGGAATTGGGAATATATATGAGATAGGGAAGATAGGAAAGGGGACGGGGGACGGTTGTTGTCGATGGACGGGTCGAGGTGTGTGTTACGTGGAAGGTCGGGGATAATCGAGTTTACGCTAGAGATGCTGAAGTTGTTCAGTTCCTCGATCAGCGAACTGATCTGTGCAGGTGGATGGTTGTCGATGTGTGTCTGAGGTGGTGGAGTCGGTGGAGGCGATGGTGGGAGGGCAGGAAGTTTTGATAGTTGGCGATATTCAAGTTTTCGTTGTCGTTCAAGGATGGAAACCGGTTTTCGGTGTCGGGTTGGCGGAGGTAATGGACCAAAAAGGATATCCTTTGTCGAACGTCGGGTATGTACCATAAAAGGCTCGATGTGTCGGCTAGTTGGTGGGTAGAGCAGTGTACTCTTAATCTGTTGTAGTTGGAAACGCCTGGTTTTCATTGCTTCCCCCCGTTCCCCCTCTTGTCTTCTTCATACTCCAAATGTGGAGTTTGCACACTCATACAACAGCCACCAATACAAAAGGCTGGATCAACAAACATTGCTTAATATTCAAGACTCAAAATAATATCACTCTTGAGGTTCACACTGACAAACTCTTTGGAGAGGGCAGCATGAGGAGAGCCTTTTGTTGTAGCTCAATCATACAATGACGCCAGTGATCACAAAAACCCCAAGAAGAAGAATCCTTCCTCTGTTGGTGCCCTCCAAGATGGAACCAACAACCCCAACAACTGCCACAGCAATGAGTACTGCACCTTGCAGCTCAACAAGCGCTTGTTTGGCAACTGATGACTCCACCTGCAAGAACAGCTGTAATTACTCTTTCTTTTGGTGACTCTCTGGCTTGTTGTTGCAGTGCTGACTCATTTGGGGTGAACTTTCCTAGCTCCTCAAGCTTTGCTTGGATGTTTTGGGTCTAGGTCACATCAAGCCCATCCACGCCAAGGCTATTGTCTTGCCATCTGGACCTGGTCATAATGGCAACTGTAGATCAACACAATTGACCAACTTATCATAACTCTCATCACTTGTGTCCCTCAGGTCTTGGGTATATGCTGAGCCTTAGTGGATTGTCAAAACCAAGGCTAGTGGAAGAGCTGTCAGATGAATTGTTGTTGGAATCAGAATCAGAATCACACTGTTGGACGAAGTCATCATCATCGGATCCACTGTACTTGTAGTATTCAGTCGTAAGTGGATCATCATCATCACTAGAAGCAAGGTGATGTTCACTACAATGAGAATGATCTTTGTTTGATGATGAGTCATCTTGATTGGAGGCTGAATCATCTTCATCAGAACAGTGATTGTGTTGATGGGGGACTGAAACGTCTTTGGAAGTTTGACTGTGGTTGGAGATGTCATTTTTGTTGGCAGAGCTTGTTTCTTTTGAACAAATTTCATTTGTGGCAGAATAGTTGATATGCTCTTTGTCAGTGTTGGTAGCATCTGAGTCGTCTTCAATTTTTTTCACTGGAGTTGGATGGTTTGCAATGGTTGTAACTCAAGCTGAGCAGGTGGGAATCTTCTTCAGAGCTGAGTAGGAGTCGTTTTCATTGTGATCATCTGCATCAGGATGGAGCCTATTGCTGTCATTGGAGTTGGAACAGCCGGAGGACCCCGTGATTGAGCCGCATACGTGACGATTGAAGTTATTAGTATCTGTCTGATCATCACTCATGTTGGGATCATCTGTGTGGTCTTCATCAGAGTCACCAGTGACCTTGGATGAGATTGAAGGGCTTTTTGGAGATGCATTGGATAAGGAATAGAAATTCTCCCATTGGGAATCCTCTTGAGTCTTGGGGAAAATCTTGGCATATTTTATGGCACGATTTCAAGTTGGCACGATTTCAAGTTGGCACGATTTCAAGTTGGCGCGATTGTTGTCCCCTGTGAGTGTCCATACTGGCATCAGTTGGTATTCATGAGCCACAGTGAAACTGCTTCTTGATAAACAATAGAAGAAACAGAAGTTGAATAGATCTGTGCTTATTGTTTGTTAACAGGAACTCGTGTCAAACTCATTCCTTCAACCAAGATTTGTCTTCCCCGTGAATACGTATAGTTTCAAGCTGTTCTATTGAAATTGAGGCATGAAGCTGAATCCAAGAAACTTGAAGTATTGATTGTGTTAGAGAAGATAAAAACATGCTCTTGAGTCATAGAGACAGGGTGGACACACTTTGTACTGGGTCAGTCGAAATTAATCCGGACAGGTCTAAATGCCAAAATCCAATTTTCAAGATAAGATACGGGCAGTTTACAGACGGAGCAACAAAAAAATTGGATCGACTAGACTATTATCATTGGCATACATTACTTCTATTACACTTTTCACTCTGGCCTTGTGTACTGGAAGCCGGTGGGCCCAATGATTTTGGACCAGTTCAATGTCTTGTTATGCAATTACAAATGTCCCTTCCAGTTCAGATAAAACACATTGGAGATCGGATCATGACAACGTCTATATCAATCACAATCCGAAGGGTTCAATTCTTGTACATTTTCAGGATTCTGGTTTCGATATCATCTAACTGTAGATTGACGATTGGATCACAGACGTATTGATGATCGACCAACTTGAGGTTTTCGACCTCTGTTTGGTAGAGTTTCTTGTAGTCCACCTGTTGTCCTGGCATCACTGCCGCCATATTTGATGCCCCTCCCATCGCTAACGAAGCCGTACCATCGGCAGCTAAGGAACAAAGAAGAACCCCCACATGAACTTTTGACAAAAGGTGACAGAATAAGAAAAAGGGCGTAATAACTAACCATTCCCGTCTCCTAAGATTAGTCTGTATAGAGGGTTGAGTCCAAATAGGTTAAGAAAGTACCAAGATAGTGATGATACCCAGCTGATGTCCATGTCACGGGTTTCTATTCCTCTTTGAAGCATCTGCTTGAATCCATTGGGTAGCGGGAAAGGTAATTTGACTTGTGAAATAACAAGACCAGTAAATTGATCAGCCTAACTGATCATTGACTTCTCCCAGAGGTCCAGAGGGATAAGGGTGATCTCTTACCACAAACAAACCCAAAAAAGAAGGCGTTAATCCAACCCATGATCTTCAAGGAACAAGGTTTAAAAATAGTAAGCGTCTTGTCAATCATCACCAATTGGGTATCAAAATACAAAGAAACCAACCACAGTCTGCGGGATCATCATCACCATCTGTTTCTTCATTCCATCCATCATTCCTTCCATGTTAGCAGGATCGAGAGGATTGGGAGGGTTAGCAGGAGGAAGCTCGTCCTGATTCCCCGCAGATTTCGGATTGTTGGGGTCGGTGATGACCGACTTAGATTGAGGTTTACCGGTTTCACTCAGGTAATGACCGTCGAGAAAAGCGTTGATCAATCGATTCCTTCGTTCTTCGAATCTTGAGGGCGATAAAAAGTGACAGTTGTTCCTGAAATATCCCGATCTCATCAATGCTCTCTGTTCTCGTAATTGCTTCAAGCCGATCGGCTTCGGATCGCTATGCAGTAATTGCATGGCATAATGGCGCAGAATCCCGACTAGTAACATCACAAATGTGATCGGTAGTAGCACCCTTTCCTTCCCCCGAATTTGGATTTTTTTTTTTTTCGTTTTCATAGTTGAGTTCGATTGTAGTGTGCCAAGCGTATATCGATTTCGCCCAAATCCAAGTGGTACGTGTAGATCATTTCAAGAAAAAAGAAAACAGAATCAATAATGAATATCAATATCTAGATTAAGCTGGAGGCAGCGGTTTATTTCTTGGTGAAGATTAAGATAGTGACTTACCAATTTCTGATGGCGGGATCCAGCCGGATATCTTGCTCTGCCCAGGTAGACATGGTGGTCGAATCGGTGGTTGATGTATTCTGATGTGAACAAAAGTTTATGGCCAAGACTGCCAGTGACACAAGACTTGTCTCCATCGACCGAGCCAGCCCCGGGTACCCGATACTCCCGCCTACCCCGCCTACCCCGCCACTCCCCGGTACTCTCCCTGATCAGATGACAGATGGCGGGAGATGGGCTTATGTACGGCCACATATTACATAGGAATTTCGAGACGCGACGAACACCTTCGGAAGGACATGATGCTTGCAGACTTTGCGAAGGTACTCGAATCCTCGACGCTGATCAAACAGGGAGCCGAAGCCAAGGTGTACACGGTCGAGCTCGTCAAGCCAGCGGAAGGCCGACCAGGGATCACAGTCCTACTGAAGTATCGATTCCCGAAGACCTACCGACATCCGAGCTTGGATAGCCAACTGACCAAGAACAGATTGACCTTCGAAGCACGATCGTTGACGCGTGCACTCAAGACCGGAGTACGGGTGCCGGTTCTGAAAGGCTTGGATCTCGAACAGGGTTGGTTGATGTTGGAATGGATCGAAGGAATCAGTCTCCGTGAATGGCTCCAAGAACACCAACAGCACGAGCAATCCCAGGAAGAACTCCTCAATCTGTTATCCGACGTGGGCACTCAGATCGCCAAGCTACATTCAGCCGACATCATCCACGGCGACCTGACCACCTCGAACATGATGTTGAGAGCCTCCAAGTCTCAGGGCCCCTCTAGGAGCAACCAAGAGGTAGTGATGATCGATTTTGGTCTCTCATCGGTGACCTCATTAGTCGAAGATAAGGCCGTCGACCTCTACGTCCTCGAGCGCGCCTTCCTCTCCACTCACTCTGACCCTAACAATCGATCCCTCAAGCATTCCTCCCCACTCTTCGAAATCGTCCTCCAAGCTTATGCAAACTATCTGTCTCAAGAATCTTGGATCGCTATCAACACTAGACTGGCTAACGTCCGCATGCGTGGTCGCAAACGGAGTATGGTCGGATAATCATTCTTGACAAGCAATCAGAAAAAAAAACACCGCTCATGAACCTGTTTCCGGATCGAAAAGAAAAAATCTACACGATCGAGTTTTAACCCAGTTCATTGAAGACTAGTTAATATCATGAATAAATCCAATTCACCTACTTAATCGTTATTCATCGCACTCCAGTACAACCTTTCCCGAAATAGAAGGTTTGGGAAATCTTCATTGAATCTGATCATGACCAATTCATCACCAGGAAGTTGCAATCTCTCTAATGTCGTTGAGAAAAAGCAATAGAAGATATGCTTGTATGTTAGTTATCTACCCACAACTTTATATAGGCTGAATTATGTGAACATGATAGCTGCCACATGTATAGTGTCATTGCTGGTGACTCGACATGGTGGAGCTGGTCCTCTTACCTCGGTTTAAAGGCTGCGCAGCCGCTTGATTGGGAATGGGAGGGGTTTTTATAGTCAAACAATCTCAAGTCGTTCCATCGGACCTTGGTCGACTTGGATAAAACCTGCTCATCCTTGGACAACCCCTTTGTTCAGTTACCTTGATTATCTGTCCTGTGTTCGAATCTCCACCACATTCGAAGGTTCATCCATGCGGTTCATACCTCTGCTCGGCCTGTCTGGTCTGATCGGCTTGGTTCAGTCTTCATTTCCCTGGTCCGGGCTCAGCAGATCTGAAACGCCTAGATACCCACGGACTCTTCTTCCCGAAAGTGACACGACCCACTGTTCTCTATGTGCAGCAAAACCCCGTCCCGATGGCTACGAGCACGTCAAATGGACCAGAAAAGGCCCAGAATTGGAAGACTGGGGCCATGGCAGAAGAATCATATGCCCTAAACCACCAGGACAACAGTGCACCAATCACAGGGCACTAGCAAAGATATGCCCAGTTTGCACAGCTGACACAACTGTGTTTTTCTGTGGAAAGTAAACAAAGAAAAATAAATAAATAAATAAATAAATAAATATAAAAATAAAATAAAATAAAATAAAATGAAATGAAAAAAAATGAAAAGAAAAAGAAAAAGAAAAAGAAAAGAAAGAAAGAAAAAAAAAAAAAAAAAAAAAAAAAAAAAAAAAAACAATCAAAGAAAGGAATGTCCACCTTGACACAAGCCCGAGCTTAACTAAGCCTCTCGATCGGAGGGTCCCGAAGGGACCCCGCGTCCCTGCGGGACGCTCTCCGAAGGAGAGGCTTACATGGTAAGTGGGACTCGAGGCCTGAGGATTTAAGGTTTTCAAGTCGATTTTATGATTTTTTCCCCTAAAACCTGTGTACATAGGAAACCTCAGTGATATTCACAAATCTGACCTCACGCGATGTTAGCCTGGCATCTGGGCTGTCTTCTAAAAAAAAGAAAATCCAGATGTGTGCAAAACTGAGTCGGCTACCTCCATTCTAAGGAGGCCAGTTTGTGAGTCGCCAAAACCTGCTTTTTGGAAGTTTCAGATCATCGGATCCTGCCCGCATGATCGGATAGGAGATTATAAGAAATGTTGTGTTGTAGTTCAAAAGAATATGTGACAGTTTTGACAGTTTGAAATGTGGCAAGAGAGGCTGAGAGTAAAGAAAAACCGAATACCTGTCACATCAAAAAACTCAAGAGATAAAAAAGTCCATAGGTGCCACAGTTGTCAAGGGAGACGTAAGAACGGACAATTAATCCGGTCAAGATACAACCGGATTCTTATTTCTCAGTTTTTATCAGGTTCCATATCTCGAGATTGGAGAGGGTTCACAGGAAGTGGCTGGGACCATGATGAGCAGAAAAATCATGTGTTTTTTCATGCTGAACGGCATTGTTAGGTTCAATGATGTACTGGGTCTTCTGGGGGATTTAGTAATGTATCCGGCAATTTGGCTGTATGCCCTCAGGCCAGGTGAGTGACGTTACATGCAAGTCCCTCCCTTGCGGGAGGGGGCCCTCCGGGCCCAGGGAGGGACTTGTGTTAAGTTCGACACAAGCCCTCTTGGGCCAAGTTCATGTCAATGGCTTGTCCAGTGGAACTCGCGCCCAGAAAAATCTTTTTCCCCTGTCTTTTTTTTTTTGTGATGATGCTTGTAGTCTCCATGCATGATGTGGTGGCCTAATAAGCAAAAACAATGTTGATTGTAAGACCTGTAAATTTCAACTCTCAAGATTATCCCATAGTGTTTGTTGCAAGCATTTGAGTGTTGGTATTATACACAAGCTGACTTATTCAAGTCCCTCCTCTAGATAGAGGGGCCCACAACACCACATCTGCTGCACTGCTCTACAAAAGGCAGCAAATCAGTGCAGTGCAGCAGCATTCATTGTTTTTTGGTGTCAAGTGGCCAAATACTACTATCAGCACTAGCACAGCCAGGTAAGTGCTACACATAATCTGACCTTTGTGATTGGAGCCTGAGGGTTGGGGTGGTGCTGTCAATATAAAGAAATGAAAGTCACAGACTCTGAGTCTAGTGTTGAGACAGACAGGGGAGAGAATGACTGAAGTTCACAGACCTTAGGTCTTGTGACACTTGAGGAGTGAGAAAGATAATGTTTGGTTCTGATTCACTGAGGAGGAAACTAAGAGACTAATCCTGAGAGGAACTATATACAGGATTTGTCTTGTGATTTGTTTGAAGCATACTACGGTATAAGCATATAATCCAACATCTAGCAACAGTGACTGGAAACAGAAGATAAAAGCTAGATACAACCTTGGTTTTGATAGAAGCATTTCAACAGTTAGCAGTGAGGAAAGCAGATCACCACTAATTACTGCTGCAAATAGTGCACCAATATTTAGCATTTTTTCTCTGATCAGGATATACAAAAAGCCCTGAGGCCTCACTACTGCTAATAGCTCAGTGGAGTGAGACCAAATTGGCTCTGCTTGGCACAGGGTTGGAGGGGGGGATACAATTCTTTAGGGACTTACATCTTTGGTCTCAAGTGCTATGTGACATCAAAGCTCTTGTTGAACTTGTGGCTTTTTCCTCATAATTACTGACACCCCCACACCTTATACCTTCACTCCCAACACTTGGTGAATAAAATATGTGCTGGAAACTCCTCAATTTTATCATCAGTTCACATTTGCACAAAATTCTCAAAGGGGTTCTTAATTTGGGACTTCAAACCCATCTGACATCCAAAAACATGTCTCCATGAAGAACTCAATGTTTGGCACATGCAAGCTCTTTGAATGACAGGATTCATCCAAGAATGAAGATGGTTTCCTCAGTTTTGCACACTTTGAAAGCTTATCATAGCCTCCCTAGTGTGAGAAGATTCCTCAAACCTGGGCGAGTCAATGGGGAAGATATAGGCAGTCAATACCCTGTGTTTCATGGGCTCCTACATGTTATGAAATGGGAGAGGGGTGTGTCTTAAAAAATTCCCTACCAAAACTTGAAAAAAGGTGAGGCCACATGTATAACCTACAGCAAAATCCCCCCCCCCCTCCTTTTGGTGCAACACAACTCCTACAATGGTATTAAGAGGTAGTTAATTTAGATGAATCAGGAACACCTGAGCTCAATGTTGGAATTCAATTCCTAAGCCTAGCCCTCGAAAGAGGAGAGTTTCGGGTAGGTTATACTTTGATGTATAAACTTCCTAGAAAATAAGCATACTGATCAATAATGTTTGATCATGTATAGAATTAAGCTGTTCCGTAAATGAGCATGCGATTGCCAAGCTTACAGCTTGTGATCAAGGAGAGGACATCAATGATGTCATTACTCTAGATGATGATGATCATCAATCATCGAACTCTAAGTGAGTGTTGATGATTGTGATCAAAGGAATGAGAAAATGATTGTTGACAATCTGATCTTCTCTCCTCAACATCAATCATCTACAGTAACTATCAAGCCTCCGCAAGTTGTATTCAACTTATCGATTGTATCTCTCCACCGAAGACCGGTGAGCAAAAGCCTTTCCTTAATATTAAGGAAAGAGATTGTTAAGCAACAGAAAACATTGATTGATGTTTTCTACTTTGAATAACAATTTAGATTTGTTAAGCAAGAACAAACCATCATAGTAAAATTAGCTTTACCGGATCTCTTGATCTAATCACTGTAAAGTAATTTTTATCAGTAGTTCTTTGCTTAAAGAAAATAATAAATTGAATGAAAACTAATTAAGTTTGTTTTATGATTATCAGCTTATCATCACTGTTACTTGACAAACTACTATAGCTTTATCCTTTACAATTGTTATTACTCTCGCAGACTGTTATTCTGCCTTTAGGTAATAACTTGATTTTATTTTATCTTTTTATACAAGTTATTTAATTGTATTTTCTTTATAAAACACTTTACTTATAAAGAAATGAAACCTTTAGTCTTCAAATTCTTTCACTCAATGCAAATAAAATCTGGTTCAGCACCACTGAGGACCTCAAAATGGAGGTAACAATTACCTGTTCAACAAATAGTAATTGAAGAAGATCAAACAATTCTGCTATTCCTGGCAACAGTACCACTTTCACAACTAAATTGCTGTGGAAGAATCCAAGAAACTTGACAATTAATTACTTTGTAACTGAAAACTACACTGATATAGCAGAAAGCCTTCAAGGAAATCTTAGGTGTACAGTGGGTGGGTCATTATCTTTGGCTGCTTGTAATAAAACCCTATGTTTTCCAAACATTTCATCTACATTTTGGGTCAAAATTGAGCATATATTTGAAATCTGATCTGTGATAGATATCCTGTTGTATTTTTTGGACTAAAATTCCAATCCATCTTTCCAAAAAATCTTGGATGGAAATTATTTTCCAGAAGCTTTATATGATTTGTCATTGGTATGAGAAGATCCATCTAATCTTACATCACTTGTATCAATATTTCCACGCAGTTTACCCAGTTTTTCTTCAATATCACCTATTTTATTTTCTATTTCTATGAATGATGATTGTACAGCTACCAAGCCTCTCACCATTGATATCCCTTGGATCAGGAGAATTATGGTTCCAATCCCACAGTTTTTTTTCCAAAGACTCAGCCAAATAATCTGATTCAAAACTTACAACTTGATTGGCCAAATAAAACTTACATTGATCATTTGTCAAATTTCCTTGGTTTGAGCTCATCTCAGCTTTTGCCTCTTTGGCTAGGTCTGGAATTTTTATGAGATTTTTTGTAGGTGTGAAGATGGATTGTTAAATCATTTTTATAGTCAGATTTTGATGGTGAAACATTTTCATTGCAGGATCACTTCCTGTCACAATCTGCAGGTCCCCCAGGACCAATTTAAGGCCTCAAAAATTTTCAGTTTTTGAGTTTGGATCAAGTTCTGAAAGGGATCCATTCCACACAGGAAGCCCACCACTGTTTACTTATCAAAGGAAACCAGTGATTGCTTCCTTCATACTTCTGGAAAATGTGAACTTGAAAATGATGGGATGCACACATACCTTGGGAAGATTTTTCCATCCTCTTGTGGAGGAAGTGAAGTTGAGTTCCTGCAGTGACATCATTAATTTCTGTCTTTCCCAGAGTTTTTATACATAAATTGGGATGTGCTGTGATTATGTAGCAGTTTAAGAGATGATAGGCACAAAAGATACTGGATATTTGCATTGCTAGGGTTGGTTTGGTCTTATCAATTGTTGATTAAAGTGAGAGCAGTAGAAGCTTGTTCAAGTGTGATGTGGATGATTGTGAAAATCCAAGGAGACAAGGGGTATTTGTAACCAAGAGCTATCCACCAATTTGTGGTGATGAAAAAAGTAAAATTGTAAGGAGACCTGACTACTGCTTGCTTTAACTCAAAACTGGCACAGAAAGTCTATGTCCAAGTCAACTGTGCCTGTTTGAGATGGTGTATCTTAACAAATGAATCCTATAAATATATCTGCAGTCTATATGGCCTGCATAAAATTGATGTCTGGTAGCATCTTCAACTGGTTTCATTTTCAACCCTGCATGTAACAAATGTTACTCCTTGAAGAGAAAAATTATAATTACATTTAATTTTATGTTTCTTGATCACACCCTGAATTCTTTCAAATTTTATGGCCAACAATGTATATACAAATCATGTTTCACGCCCATTATTTTTACCAAAGTTGAAACTACAGTTTGGTGGAGTTACAAGCCCTTGTGGCAAGGTTAGCTGGAGCCCGGCCCCCAATATAAGAATATTAGTTTTCCAGACCTATTATATATTGTTTGAGCCAACAATGGGTAAATAAAATACCTGTATATAATGGTAGCATAAAGATAAAGTAGTGATTTTGCACTCACTATAATTGAATATATTATGTTTGGGAATTTTTTTACATCAAATGATCAACTTTGTTTTAGGGAAGACTATCATTTTTACATCAAATGATCAACTTTGTTTTACGGAAAACTATTGGGCTCTGTTTTATAAAAACATAAACATTGTAAGATTCTATATGATGCTTTAAAAATTTATTGAATGTGATGCTGCCAAATCCCAAAAAGAGAGGAGTTTTTTTGCCACTTAGCATGTGTGGAGGGTTAAATAACCTCCAGATGAAGAAACAATAGACTACTTAGTACAGGATGAGATAAATTTTTCCCACTGCAGATAATATTAATGTATCAGGAAAGTAATCAAGTCCACTACATTACTTGAATGATGCAGATACCTCTGTGTAAAATAGTTACCCAGAGTTGGTTGGGCCCACTGATATATTACAACAAACTAAAATCCATTGGCGGTCCCAGCCAACATAAAATTGGTCTAGAACATCCACATTATATTAAATGCCTCTGGACCCTGTTTGAACTTGTCATAGGGTTTTTTAAGTGATGAAACCCCTTTGGCAGTGAAAGATAATGGTTTAGGTATGCGCTGTCCACCTTTATACTGATACATGTCGATCTAACTTTCTGAAAGAGCTTCCTGTGTGGGAGGGCCGGAGCACATGAAAGCTTGAAGTTCCAACAGACAGACACTTGTTGGAAAGGGTCCTATGAGACCTTCCAAGGGATTTTGAATTACCTTGGCAATTGAATTTTAACTCTCTTTGTGAGACATACAGGCAGTAGTGAAAGGCTGTGACTCCAACCATGATGCGGACCTTAGGGGTTGTTGAATGCAATCTGCTGATTACCGTACATACTTCATTGTTGCTGTGGAAAAGAAGTCACTCAGTGTTATGCATTCCCCCTTCTTCCATAAGGGGGTTTCATAGTTGAGTGCCAGTGACTTGCATAGAGATGGTCCGGGATAATCTGTTGCGGATACCCCCTTTTCCGTGAAATCCCGGCGGATATCCAGGTATCCCCAAGGATACCCAAGGCCGGAAGGAGGAGATGGCCGTCTGGAAGGGTTTCCTTCCAGCCGGCAAGGTACATGTACCTCACCCACTAGAAGTAAACCCTTCCAGTTGGCAAGGTACATGTACCTTGCCGGCTTGAAGGAAACCCTTCCAGTCTGTGAGGTACATATGTGTACCTCGCCAGCTGGAAGGAAATCCTTCCAGCAGAAAAGGTACATGTACCTTGTCGACTGAAGATTTCTGCTTCTGGGCAGGAAGAATAAAAGGAAAATCAAAACGACCAATTACGGCTGTCACTCTATCAAAGTATTTGTATGCAATTCAAGTGTGGCACCAATTCCATGGTGTTACAGTCTCTAATATTGCAACCGGCAGGATAAAATTAATACTCAAGTTGTGTGCAAAGCTGGACAATATGGTGAGCAACAAGTCAGAAAAGAAAGCAATCCATCTTCACCAATTATTACATCTAATTAGCCACTTAGGTGAAAGTCTAGAAGAAGAAGTGTTGGGAGAAAATTGTGCAACATGTAGGGGGAACTAAGACAAAGGAAGAGTGTATCCTCCAGTTCTTGCGCATGCCAGTCAAGGATGAATTCTTCCGGAACTCAAACACCAAACTGAATACAAGCTTGGTTCTTGGACTAGGCAAGATCCCGTTGAGTGGAGACAAGAATCCCGTCCTGTTGGTCTTATCCTTCATGGTCGGATTAGTTGAGCCTGAAATGGTGGCTGAGATTGCAGGGAAAACGGTAGATAAGATCAAACAAGATCTCTGATCCAAAGTCCTTGCGATCCAGGAGGATAGCACCCATAAATTGAGCAAATCACAGAAGACAGTGAAGAAACAGGAGCCGGGCCCGCAAGGTACGTGTACCTTGCCGGCTGGAAGGAAACTGGCTGCTTCGCCGCTGATTTAAAGGGCGGGTATCCGCGGATACCCGCCAGCACCAGGGGATATCCGCCAGCAGTTGCGGATGCGGATGCGGATGTCTGATTCCGCTGAAATTGTGAGCAGATATCCGGATTCAGAGCAACCATCTCTAGACTTGCAAAAATGTTTGCAAGTCACTTTGAACCAAAGTCTCCATGCATGATGAGTTTCCAAATTGGATCTCTACTGGTCACATAAGACCTTGCAATGAATACTGACAACAAAAAATGCACACTTATTTGTGCAGATTCACTTTCAAGACTTCATGCAAGGCATTTGCACTCAACTCTGAATACCACTATTATGTGAATAATTCATTTAATTGATTTTTGGTATTAGAATTATGTAATCTGGTAGTTTACTATCTGTTGTGTTTTCCAAGTATCTGCACCCCTAGTCAAGACCACATTTGCAGCAAGATAACCACAATTCTGATTGATTGGATGAACCGCTTAGGGTTGGGCTTCTCACTCTTCAAAAACGCTCCTCAAATCAATGTCTCATCCTTAGACTCGACAAGAATAACAATTCTCTTTTTCCAAGACTCTTCCAAGAATCTCGGCTCAACTACTCTTTCCGATCAAGACTCAAGATCAAGATCAAACTCTCTCAAGACCTCCTCTGTAAAGTTACCCTTGCTCCATGAACTTTCTGCACTGATCTAACACATCCTTCCACTTCTTCTCACCAAGAAAGATTCAAGACAACATCAAGAATCATAGACAGACACTTCTTCAACATTAGGCCCCCAGTCTGCTCTACGTGTTGTTTGTTTCTTATCGACTATCCTTCTCTTTGGGCGCTCCAATTTCCTTCCTCTTTCTTTTCTTGTTTGATGTGGAATTCACTAACTCACTCATCTCCTTGTTTCTTTCATGCTCTGTTCTCTCTTATAGTTATAACCTTACCTGCTTCTTTCCTCTTTTCTCAAAGACCTCTTCTTTCTTCTCAACATTTCCATCTCATTAGTGGTATGCTTCTCTCTCTCTATCATTCTCTTCTCATCATCTTCTCTGTTTTCATTCTCTTTGTCTCTGTTTTCTAACTTCTCTTGTTTTTAGTTTGGTTCTGGTTTTCTAGCAATATACTCAGAGTTTTTCATTATCAATGCCTCTCAGGTTACAATTAGTACAGACTATGCATCATTGCTGAAAATAACCTTCCTAGATAAGGGTTAGGAGTTTTGCCAGCTGGGCCTAACTCAACAAAGTCCTCCCTGTGAAAGAGGTTGGTTTTGGGTGTCGCTTACATTTTTCACCTCTCCCACATGTTGGCCTAAACAGTCCAGCTGTTAACTCAACTAACCTTCCTCTGGTGGGAGTTTTGCTGGTGAGAATCACAGGCTGGTGGCAAATTCACCACTCCCACAGCTGCTGGAATGTTTAAGTAAAAAGTCTTTGCTTTCCTTGGGCTCAGTGCTATGTGGTTAGTGGAGTTCTTACAAATTACTGGTAGCTCACTTTGCTAACCATGTAAAAACTCAATTGATATCTAGACTTTCTTTTGAAAGAGGACCTTAGATTAAGAATAAATGATGTCAGATGAGCATCACAAGTAAGCAAGTCATACGTTGCTTTTCTGTTGACTGTTGAAACATGTCATACACTATGAAATATCTGAGGGCAGTAGGTGTCAGGTGACCTGAAGTGACATATGTTACAACTCCATTGTTACTCTGCTGCTTGTCTGCTCAAATAACAATTTTCCCTTTGTGGTCATCAGGGAGTCCCAACCCTTTGACTTTGAAGTAACACTGTAATAAAGGCAGGAGTTAGCTTCATTTCACCTGGGATATAGTACTGCCCTCAGATTTTTCATGGTGATACTTTCTAGGATCTTTTATGGAAATAAATTGATTGAATAACTTTGACAAACCATGAAAATTGTGTTGGATTAATCAAATTATAGAGTTTTCATATATCTTCTAAGCCATCTAGCAATTGCCTCTTTTGAAGTCCTTTCCAGTTGTGTCCATAATACTAGAAGTTATAAGATAGACCATCAGAGATTAGTAGGGAGTATGTAACCTCAAATGGCCTTTTACCATTCCCACCATTCAGTTTGTCAAGTCTTTTAATTCTGAAGAATACTCAAAAGTCCAGATTGTATTTTTGTCCTTCCATATTAAAAAAAGTTTGAGACAATAGGACAGTTCATGTCTGGCTTCTTTGCCAGTCTGCTGATCAGCTGCTTTGCTGGCTTGATAAAATTTTATTTTAAAATTGATAGGTTGTCCAAAAAAGATCTTGCTTGTTGGTTGCTGGTTGCTATCATTTTCTCTCAAAATATGGGGATATCCCAGCCAAGTTCAATGATCATGCTGTTTCCATCTGCTGGCTCAGTGTAGATTTTCCCAAATTTTCCATAAATTTTGCTGCATTTTTTGATACCAGCAAGATGGTGGCCAATTGTCCAGCTAGCTAAAATGCTAGGCGAGAACCGTCCTGTGGGAAGTCCTCCATTTCTTTTTCATGCCAAGCTTGCTGGAATAATTAGTGAGTCATTGTGAACTTCCTCTCAAGTTTGAAGCCCTGATTGAGAACCCTGAAGAGGGTCTGAAGACTCTGAAGCAAGATGTCTTGCAGCTCATTGTGGGATGACACACATCATGTGGTCCTAGATGCGCCGTAGTCCCCGCGCTGGGTGCCCGCTCTTGCCCTTGAGCTCTGTGCCCCCCGGGGGTTGTACGCATCCCTGAAGCTGTTGACCATCCACCTGGCTGTTGACCACCCAACCAAAAAAACACACACACAACCACTACCACCGCAACATCTCACCCAGGATGGCCATCAGCCCAACCGGAGAACGTTCTCAGTCACCTCAAGACTCAACTAAACAAAAGACAAGCCCATCGTCACAATCAGATCACCATCACCACCATGAGAACAATGGACGAGCTGAAGAGCAGTCCAAGGAGGGAGCTGACAGGGGAACAGATGACCATCCCAGTCGTGATCTAGAACCAGAACGAGAAGGCAAAAGAGAAAGGGATCGAGAAGAGCCCGAGAAGAAGAACGGAGAGAATGAAGGAGGTGAAGACAAAAGCTCTATTAATGAGGAACACAGTAATAAATCTAGAAGCCGACGTGAAAAGGATAGAGTGCACAGATCAACTGACAGGTCGCGGGATCGCGACAGGGACTCTCGTAGAAGACATAGAGATCGTAGCGATCGTGATCATAGAGAACATGTCAGTCTTCCTCAACCTCTCAAACCACCCCCCTCCCCATCAACTGATCGGCTGTTCACACTTTCCACCATCAACAGGACAAGGGTGAAAGATTAGAACGAGCAGAGTTTGTCTTCCTTTCTTTCTGGCTTGACTTACCTCCCCAGAGTTCTCGAATGGTCCAAAAGAAACGAAACTGATCGAACACTTGTTTCCAGGAAAACGATCGATCGATCGCCTGGAAAGGACTCTGATATCCGAAGTCATAGTAGTCGTCCTAGTCATAGAAGACATCGCTCTCGCTCTCATGAGACCGCTGAAAGAAGTCATACTGATCGTAGCAGACACCGAGAGCGTGATAGGCGTGATAGAGACCGAGATCGAGACCGGAACCGAGAACGAGGAGATAGAGATTCGGAACGGGACCGCGAACGTGATAAAGACAGAGAGAAAGATCGAGCTCGTGACCGAGACCCTAAAAGGAGTCATCGCTCCCGTGACTTGGACGAGGACAGGGACCGTCACCGGAAGAGACCACGTAGCAGGAGCAGGGAGCGTTCTAAGGAACCTCGTCCGCGCGACTTGGATGGCAGGGAATCTGAGCGGCAGAGGAGATTTGAAGAAGCGGAGGGCGAAGATAGGTATGAAGTGACTTCGGATTCGTATCAACAAAAACACCATGTATCTTGCTAACAAGCTCTCCACCACATCATCCTTTCCAGGCGTCGCCGCCCAGATCGTCGAAGTCCTCGCTATCGCCCCTATGAGCCCACTGGGTCACCCCCACGGAGGTCCTCGAGTCCTCAGTGAGTTCAGCGGAATTGCCAGGGCCACTCTCACAACGGCCACCCTCAGGCTAACCTTCCTTCCACAATCCGCCCCGCAATTCAGTCTAACAGAGGAAGAACATGAGATGCGTTCTGTTTTTGTCTCTCAACTTTCTGCTCGTGTGGGCGATCGCGAACTCTTCCAATTCTTCGAGCAACAGGCCGGGAAAGTTCGCGATGCAAGATTGATCACTGATCGTATCTCTCGTCGATCGAAAGGGTTTGTTGTCACTGGCAAATTTAAATCCCATACACCCGCCTTTGACTCATTCATTTTTTTTTTCTTGGCGTCTGAATTCAGAGTCGGATACGTAGAGTTTCGTGAATTGGAAAGTGTTCAGAAAGCACTGGCACTAACTGGAACTAAATTGCTTGGTCTGCCAGTCATGGTTCAATATACCGAAGCAGAAAAAAATCGACAAGCCATGGCAAACACTCAGCCAAATGTACCACCTGGATTTGTTGCTACGGCTCCACCACCTCCTGTTCCCCGACCTTATGTTACCCCAAAAGCCAGGTTAGGCACATCTGATTCTCTACTTAGTTAAAGAAAATGTTGCTCAGAGGAAGTGCTTATGAACTTAACAGGGGGCCCGGTCCGAACGATCCCAACAGCTACGCCAGACTATATGTGGGCTCACTGAATTTCAATCTTACAGATGACGATATTCGACAGGTATTTCAACCCTTTGGTGATATCGAATACGTCGACCTTCACAGAGATCAAATAACAGGCAAGAGTAAAGGTTATGCGTTTGTTCAGTAAGCATGGAATTCAAGGAAATCTCACAGAGCTGCTAAGGTCGATCAGGATCTTGAATCATTTTCTTCATTACTTTCAGGTTCAAAAACATGCATGATGCGAAAAATGCCATGGAAAAAATGAACGGGTTTCAGTTGGCAGGTCGAGCCTTACGGGTTGAGGTTCGTTTCTGTTTCAATCCCTTTGATGCGGAACGTGATGGCTGACGAATAATCTTAATACAGATCAAAGCCCAGCCTCCAGCTGCCCTGTTAAATGCCACCGCACCTGGTGTAGCGAATCCAGTCATAGTTACCCCTTCGGGCGGTAACTTTACCGCCCCTGCACCCAGCACCTTCGAAGAACGCTTGGAAGACCCAAGTATGCTTTGATAAGCTTTTCCCATGTTGAATTTAACCAATGTTGATGCCGCCCCATCTTATCCTTTAGTTGGTGGCAACTTGAACCAAATTTCCAGGGTTGAGTTGATGCACAAGCTCGCGAGAACCGAACAACCAACTAATGTACCAGTCACTGACATGTGTGTAACATTCATCTCACTCATCCATCATTCTTTAACTTGATTTGAAAAACTTATTTTTGATCTTTGGTCATCAATAGGTTCCGTCCCAATATTCCCACGGCTACTTCGCGCTCAGTGCTCTTGAAAAACATGTTCAATCCTGAGGAAGAGACCGAGCAAGGATGGGATATTGAGCTGCGAGATGATGTCAAGGGCGAATGCGAGGAGAAATATGGCCCGGTCTTGGCTATCGCTATTGAAAAAGAATCCACCGTTAGTCTTCAATCCATTCTATTTAAACTGTCCAAAAAAAACCTGCACTGATTGGGTGGATGCTAATTCATTGGGGCTTTCTTTGTTGATGGACAACATCCCTGCAGGCTGGTGATATCTACATTACGTTTGATTCTGTCCCATCCGCTCAAAAAGCTATCACAGGCCTTAATAATCGTTGGTTCGGTGGCCGTCAAATCACTGCTGCTTTTATCTCCGATGCTCTCGTCGCTGCTCATGGCGGAAAATAATTAATATAACATATTTACAAAAAGGAGGGGAGGGAGACCCCATAAGAATTTTTTTTTTTTTGGACTTGAGTCTGGAGATCAGTCCTGCGTTCTTCCTGCTCTTGTTGATCATCACTCCGTCCCTCCCTCTCCCGCCCACCCTAGTTATGTAGGAGATACACTCTTTCTCTCTCTGTTGAAATGCAATCACACGTTATAGCCCTAGTCTTTGCTTTTCAGGTTTTTGGGTGGTAACTGATTATTGGTGGACTCCCTCATGTTGACCTTGAATTCTTGAATTTAGCGTTTGCTAATAACGGGGCACAAAAGCGTTGCACTACTGGTACACTACCGTTGTTCATAACGGTAGCAACCCAGTGTTGCAGGCTGACAGTATCATGTCGCTGTGAGTTGTGATCAATGGAGGTAAATATGTACACACACCGCGACGTAGCTTGCAGTTTTATCCCATGAGTGAGACTCACTTCCCTCGCTAAGGATTTGGGTTTTCAAGCATATGCAGTTGGTTATGAAGCTCAAATCGTGCAAGCGTCTTCCATTGAGATGGGAGAAATGATTGTGTTGAAAGAGATATTCACCAGGCTTGCATCGTAGAGAAATATCTTCTGGGTAATTTGTGATTTTCACAGTCGGCTAGTAATCTGATCTCACCGCGAAGTATGCTGATGTGCACACATAGTGCTTGTCTCAATTCAGATCACCTGTTTTCCACTTCGGTTTGGCATGAGGACTAACAACTATTGCTGGGGCTTCCCGTCAGCAAAAAGCAACCAGGTTTGTAACTAGATACTCGCCGCCGTCGGCAACCCCTTAAAAGACACTTAACGCAATTCATCAACGTCTCTTCTTTATCAGGCATTCGCAGGCCAGCGTGTAAGTTTTGGGCTTTCATCCGGAAGTTTAGTCCAAAGGCAGACATACTACTCTTCATTCGCTCTGACTTGAGCTCGGTGTCTCAGATAGCAACATCGCTTTCCTAGATGAGCTGTGTTCCGAAAAACATTGATTGCGACAGCTTACGACCCTTGGTCCAAGCCTATCAAAATTTGTATTTAAAGGAGGAGGACAAGCGCCATCGGATGAGATTCTTCACTCCACGCTCACCTTTTCCAACATCAACTTTTCAACTTACATCTCCACTACCCTCGCTTTAGGCTCAACACTCGCTTTCCGCGCCTAATTTATCAATTTATCTTTCATACGACCCCAACTGTGTCCAGCATGCAATCCAGCTTGATTATCAGCGTTCTTATTGTTTGCAGCGGTGAGTGCATCAGCTCGATTTGATTTTCTCGCGTTTACATGCTGAAATTCATCATTCCTGTGTTGCAGGTGTAATTGCCGTACCCACTTCTCGTGGGAGCAACTATGCCGCTACTGAGCCATACGGAGAATCTGAGTCATACGCGCCAACCAACTCATACTCCCCGCCACCCAAGTCGTACTCTTCATCAGTACAGCACTCATCTTACACTCAGAAGCCTTCATACACTAACACGGCCGTCCCTCAATATTCCTCCGGACCCGGCCAATTCCCTCGGGTCCATGCCCCTGGGCCTGTCCGTTTCCCATCGGGCTCAGGTATGTCAACTGCGTTGTTGATAGATTACAATCATAGTTTAACAACATTTCCACTTGTCGATTCCATTTTAGTCGGTGCATACCCCCAATACGGAGGCTTTGGAAACGGTGGTGGCATGCTTCCCGGCTTCGGCCTCGGAGGTCTTGGACTCGGAGCCAATGCGCAAGTTGCAGGAGGCGTCGGAGGCCTCGTCGAGGGTGGAACCGGCTTCGGTACGGGTATAGGCGCAAATGCGTTGGCAAATGTCGGCACGGGCCTTAAAGCAGGTGCGCGAGTCGGAGCTGGCGTTGGCGGCCCTTTGGTCGGAGCTGGGGCAAACGTCAATGCGGCTGTCGGGGCTGGGGTCGGCGGTCCTCTCGTCAGAGCTGGCGCTAACGTCCACGCGGCCGTCGGAGCCGGTGTCGCTGGTCCTTTCGTCGGAACTAATGCTAACGTTCACGCGGCCGCCGGGGTTGCAGGTCCCACCTCCATTGCTGCCCAGGCCAATGTTGGAGCAGCTGTTTCGGCCGCCCCTGTAGCAGTAGGTGCTGCAGCTCGTGTTGGAGCTGGAGTCGCCGTATAAACTCCAATTTGATTTTCCCTTTGCTACTCACACTCCCAAGGAATACATCCGTTCATTGTTGCATTTTTTTGCATTTTGCCACGTCTAAAGAGTCTACATACAAATGCGCTGTACGGCCCTGTATCGGACACAACTTTTTTGTCACATTTTACATCCTCGTGACACCCATCTTGACTTGCCTGATGGTAAGGGCCGGGGCCATCTTGAGAAACAGCGTCGATTCATTCTTGGCCAAGCCCAAGTTTACTGGCGAACTTAGTAGACGCTGTGACTCGTGAGTGGGTCAAGAGTCTTGCGCAACGGATTGAAAAACCAGAGTGAGATCAAGCTCTTTCCCCCCCACTTGTTTGAAGGAGCGGGACGCTGCCCCGCAGAGACCCCGCAAAGAAAGAAATATTCGGTGAAGCTAGAAGGCTCGGTGTGGTTCTTGAACGCAGCTAATATGCCCCAATGATAGTCCTGATTCCACACTGCCCACTGTCTTTCTCCATCTTAGGAGTTTTTTTTTTCAACCAAACGCCTTGGACAGAAATTTTGGTGGGTCTTACCAGTTGAGCTGACCAAGCCACCCGTCTCAAGCCTAAGGGCGTTCCCCAAAAATATGCATGAATGTCAAGAAGTAGAGACTATTTCATCAGACATCCTCACAATTTTGTACGCGCCACGCAGGTTTAACATTGACCAATTTTGGTTTTCCTGGGCTCTGTCGTGACCTAAAAATAGGCAACTTTTTGACGACCAGAGTAGGGATCTCTGAGAATCCTTTTGACAGCTATTTTCAAGTAGCTGTATCAAAACAATACTGACCTGGGCAGGTATATTTTGCCTTCGAAGCAAGAACCATCCCAATCAACATCATTTTTGTTTATCAAGAAAATTTTGAATGCAGAGCATCAATGCCAATCTTCGGTGGTTCAATACAATAGGAGCAGACGCTGTGGGGAAACTTGATCATTTTTTGTGTCAACGAGGTTGCGAAGCCTCTATGCAGCCCCCTCAATTGAGCTGAACGATAGGAGCGACTGGCTAGCGCTTAGATAAAAAGCCACTGTGCTTCAGAAACATCAAACCTCTTTCATGTATCATGGTTCCACTTTGAGCGCGCGAGGAAAGGATCCCACTGCGTTAAACAAAAACTTTTCCCATCGCACTTACTTATCAAGATCTTGATTCCTTTCACTTGAAAAGTTGCCCTTGCCTACAAACCTTTCGCAAGTGGTTGATCTGGCCACAAAAAAAAGGTATCATCCATACAGCTTGTGGTGGTTTAACAGCATGTTGGGGCTGACCATCATCGTTTGTGATTTCTCTCATTTCACCAGGGAATTAAAATCCAAAACCTAGCAAAGTCCATATTCCCTGTTCCTCACAAAGGTAAGTATGAAATCTTACCCATCATAATTACTCTTCCAAGGCCTTGATCTGATTCATGGTTTAGTTCCCAACTTGAACTCACCAAAATTTCAAACACCTTGGTGAAGATTATGATGCTCTTCAAAGGGATATTCTTGGTTTTTACTATGTCCGCGGGGATTGAAGGTCGATTCCTTCATAAGGAGGGTTGCTCGACAAAAGTAACCTTTGCGGAGCAGAAGGCTTTCCCTTGTTCATTGCCGGACTGCCCAAACCTCTGCCCGCCATCAACAGGATATTGTAAAAATTGCGGGGTTACCAAGATTAGAAAGGAAATGGAAGGCTTATGTGTGCCACACATTATGCAGCAAATGTATGTGAGGTGTTCATCAGTTTAAATCTCTAATATAGTGATTGTAATCCCACAATAAGGCTAACCGCTCCATATACAACCATCCTTGGAAAATAAACAAATGCCATTGGTAAGGATTTACAACAAAAAGAAAAAGAACGCCAGGCTTCTCCATTCAGAAGCTGAAGCTGCACCTTTCCAAAAGAAATTAAAAAAGAGCTATCAGAGCTTTCCCATTGTCCAGGATACCTAATGCAACACTTTTAGCCTCCCAAGGCTTCAGATCCTTGACTATCAATCTTGCACTTGGTCAAAATTTAATGTATTTTCTGTTTTGGGGTCAAATTGAAATTGCAGCATCCTGCTAGTCTAAGTCAGACTATTAAGTCATGTCCATCAAATTCTCAAATGCTTCCTTTTTGTATTGCCCAGGCATATTTCTATTTTGAGGGAATGATCACTTTCTGAGAGTTGAAGAATTTGAAGATTTTATACATGCAACAAACCATTTGAAAGGAAAAATATACAGGAGATAGGGATTCCGATTTGATTGAATTCTAGGAGAAGTAATTTGCCTTAATGCATCATACTCATAGTTATCAGACAATTATTTCTCTTGTTTCAAAAACTAATTTAAGAGAATTTGCGACCAAAACTATTACACTACATTACCCCAGGGCCCAAATCTCAAGGTTTCACCTTTTGGTGTAAGCTTAACCTGGAAACATTTGTAAACTGAGCAAGACTGAATCTAACCGCTTGACACCATGTGCAAAACGCTGGCAGATCATCTAAGTAAGTTGCCAAGAAACAAGATTGACAAGGTCGCCTCAAGATAAAATACATGTGCTTGGTCAAAAAGGATGAAAATAAATTAACACCAAACCAGTAAATCTAGGTGATGAGGAATAAGCCCAAGAAGACCACACCAAAGAGACCAAGACTTCTGTCGGACAGAGAGCTTCACCCAACCGTCAGCCCCATGCGCTGCTAAAGTCAGAACACTGCAAATCGTTCCCAGTTCGTGATTGACGCGATAGCTTTTACGCTAAGATCACGGTTAACAACCTGGCAACCAGTCTATCGTTATGCTCTATGTGCCCGGATGAGGTTTGAATTCCTACAAAGCAATCATCGTCGAACCCGATCATGATGCGACGGATGATTCAATTTCTGGGTACACAGTGCCAGGAAAAACATGTCATATGGGGCTAGCGTTGGATGATCACACCGTTGGTATGGTCTCATCGCAATTTGACGAGCATTAGATTGATCTTGGTGATGTAGCCATTATGCCATTTGCGTAGATCCAGTGTGACTACCAAGCATCTCTGGCCCTTCCTTAAGATGGATGGCTCTTTCCCCATCTTTCCCCTTCCACAGCATCCTTCGTACATACATTTCCTATACCTCGCCTGACCGAATTAAACACTACTTTTTCCCTTGCAGCATTTCCTATCTGTTGGCTAGATACCACCTCGTATCCTTTTATTGCTCCTCTTACCCGTGAAGCTTTCGAAGTCAAATTGCTTGTTGGAAACAAGTGATCTATCCGAAACACTCGACGAATTTTTCAATTTCACTGGCTTAGACAGCCGCTGTTTGTATATTTTCACACATCCTCCTGCGCCTTTGAAGCGCACTTGAAAAGACTTAGCCCGACAGATTATATTCTGTTCGTCATTTCTGCTTTTGTCCTCGATTTTTACTTGATTTATTTACATGATTCCGTACTGACACTTCACGGCATTCCGATGAAACGTAGCAGTTGCTTTAGCACAATGTTGAAGATGAATGTCAGTTCGATTGTTGTTCTCAGCATTATCGTCCTCAGCACTGGTATTTCCTCTTCGCCGCTCAGCCTGGCCACCCGGACCGAGAATGGCGGCCATAGCTTGCCAAGCAAGGCACGTCGGGCCGTTTTTAAGGAAATTAACAGACGTGACGACGGTGATTACGGGGGCAACAAGAGTCCTCCTCCCGACACTGAAAAACCCCCTGCAAAGCCGGATGGCAAGCCCAATGGCGCTGTCCAAGACCCATCAAGCAAGGATCCGAAGAAAGATGACTGCAAGCAGCCTCACGGCACCATTCAAGACGCGACAAGCAAGTCTCCAGACAAAGTACCCTATTCTCCTCCAGCTGGCGACATGTCCCAACCTAATGGCACCATCTCAGACCCCACTAGCCACGCTCCAGACAAACAACCGTACTCGTCTCCAACCGACAAGATATCCCAACCTAATGGCACCATTCAAGACGCGACAAGCAAGTCTCCAGACAAAGTACCTTATTCTCCTCCAGCTGGCGACATGTCCCAACCTAATGGCACCATCTCAGACCCAACAAGCCATGCTCCGGATAAAGAACCCTACTCGTCTCCAACCGACAATATATCCCAACCTAATGGCACCATTCAAGACGCAACAAGCAAATCTCCAGACGAGAAACCCTACTCGCCTCCGGCCGGCGACATGTCACAAGGTAACGGCTCCATCTCAGACCCAACAAGCCAAGCTCCAGACAAGAAACCCTACTCGTCTCCAGCCGGCAATATGTTACCACCTCATGGCACCATTCAAGACCCAACCAGTCATGCTCCAGACAAAGATCCTTACTCGTCTCCAACCGACAACGTGTCCCCACCCCCTGCTTCCTTGCAAGGCCCCGCAGGCAGTGCTCCGAAAGGTCAAGATGATTCGTCTTGAGTCGTCGCCTGAGCTCAAGCCCACATCGGTTCTCAACAAAGTTGAACTCGATGTTGATGCTCGCATGTACTAAGTATAATGTCTGTTGTATTTAGATTTTTTTTTTAAAGCTGATTTCGATGTATACATACTTTCAAAACTTGTTGAATACTAGCTTCGGCCTTTTCATTTCCAGTCTCCTCTGGATCATGTATTTATAGACTAAGATTACGACGCAAGGATAAGAGTACAGAAAACCTGAAAACATTGCATTTGAAACCCCGAAATATATCAGATCTCTCATTACAATTTTTCTTCAGGCTTTGTGCGAGTTGTTTTTCTCGGTGTATAAATTAGTGTGTCCCAGAGATGGGGGACGCTGTCCCTGGGAAACGTATTGTGGGTTCGAACCCGCATTACGCTTTCCTAAGATGCGAAGTCGACGTAGTCGAACGAATTCATTCCCGCTACTTGGTTGTACTCTTTGTGCCTTCCGTGTTTTTGCTGCCATCCAAGTTCATCACTTGGGACGATAGCTGACTTAATGCAGCCCCTCCGAAGAACGAGGGGCTTCGTTGGGCGAGGAAAAAAAAGTCCACAGCGGCTATAGAGTGAGTTAGAACTGCACCTGCTAGGGTGCCGTTCAAGTCGGGAGGTTATTTGGGTTGAAGCAGGCCGGGAAGTTGGGTGTGATTAACTTTCAAAGAGCACATTTTTTACGCGTGAATGGAGACAATTCCGCGTCCCATGTTGAACCAATTTTCAGGCATTCCCGTCTGTTATTGTGTGTTGAGCGTGAGTTCAGGCTCAGCGGTGTCCATGATGCCGGCTAGCTTTGAGCCGTGAGGTTACATACACATTGTGACAGCTCCTGTAGAGCTGTGGGATGCACCAGAAGTGAATGCCTCCAATTACGGCCCGGGCGTTCCAATAATTATCTTAATACAAGCACTGTGGGCGAGGGTATTACATTATCATATACCTGAGAAGACAATGTGTATGTATAAACACACTGACGATTCTATCTTCTGAAAAATTAGAATGACTGTATATACAATAAAGAAAAAAGAGAAATCGACCGCTCTGTTCATCCGCGCGAGGAAAAAAAAAAGATGGTATTCATAAAACAACACAAGGAAGAGAGATAAGAAAAAGTCCGAATATGAATTATTTAAGTCTAGCTTCCGCAGCCCTAGCCCTTCGTTCACGTTCCAATCGCATCCGTTGTTCTTCAGACAAGCCAGCCAAGGGGTTAGAGACGACAGCAGGAGTCTTTCGATTAGTTGAGCCTCCACCTAACCGATTAACACTAGAAGGGAGCTTATTCTGAACACCACTACCAGCTTTCGAGTTCCTCTCTTGTTCCTCTTCTTGTTGCTGGAGTTGCTTAGCTTTTTGGGCTTTCTCATTCTCTGCACGAACTCGATCACGTTCTTTAAGTCTCTCCTTCAGTTTCTTATTCCATTCCTTATTCTTATTACTTCGATTGGTCTCAAGTTCTTCAGTGAGAGCCGAGGGGACTTTAGCTTTAGAGATCCAGTCCCATTGGGATGGGTTTTTAGCCATTGCTCGACGGAATGCGTTCCGTGTTAGTCGAGAGGGCGCGAGCTCGTAGGCGGTCAGATGTGCTTTGTTGGAACCGGTCCGAGGGCCGACGATCGTTGGATCACTTCCGGCGCTCTCGAGCATCCATTCGACCATCGTCGGTTGGTCGGCCATCGAGGCCAATTGTAACAAACTGACATATCCCCCGCTCACGTCGGTACTCTCGGAAACTCGAACTGGAACCCGCCCAAACCATTCTGTCTGATTATGTTTCTCAACGAATTCTTGCAGTGCTTCTAGTTTGCCTTTCTTCACCATCTCCACCGCTCGTTCCCATCGCGAATCTTCCAGCTCTTGTTCCTTCTCTTCTGCGGTCTTCTCTCGCGTCTGCTCTATGCGCTCCTGCCGTTTCCGTTCCTCCTCGGCCCGTTGTCGCTCCTCTTGCTCTAACTTTTTCGCTAGTTGTAACTCCCGTCGCGTTTTCTCTCGTTCGTATATCTCTCGCATCGTCTTCTCCTTCTCGGCCATCTCCCGACGGGTCGTCTTGATGATCTTGACTCTTGTTAACTCATTAAAACATCGCTTCAATTCATTGAATGTCTATTCAAAAGCAAAATATCTCAATTTTCAAAAAAAAAATCTTGCATGATGAACATAGAACGAGACAACTAAAGACTAACAGGACGTTTAGTGACAAAGGGTAGGCTCCTGACCCGCGGATCACCACGCGTAAGTTTATATCCATCTGGTTCGTCCTTATTCTTAAAGAACGTTTTGAGGCTAGATTTACTAGACCGAATGAAGATTAAATCAGATCGACTAATGGGCTCATTCCAGGCTTTGAGGAGTGCTTGAATATCCTATGATCACACCAGAGAATGTTCATCAGTTTGAAGTTTCTCAGTTGTTTTTTGAGAGAAGGGTTTGTATTTACCTGGAAAAGAGTTTGCTCGTTGTATCTTCTCAGACTTGCTCCCGCTGATTTAGCCGCACCTTTCCCACCCGCATCGTGACTAGCTTGACCACCACCTTGCTTCCTTCTGGCTTTTGTTTTGTTTTGAGAGTTGTTTGTGTTCATCAAGTCAGTAAACATCCATCAAAAGTGAATTTTTTCAAAACATTTATGGAAACTCAACTGGTATAACGATGGAAAGTTTTATGAAGTAAAATTACGGGTTCGATTTCAGGTGATTTATTTTTACCAATGTGTCTTAATTTAGGGATAGTAGAGATGACCATAGCCGCAAAGTGACCGCCACCGATCATGAGGATAGTCCAAGTTGGAAGGGACGCTCGAGAGTCAATTTCGAGTGTTGCAGGAGGGGTGAAGTCTGAGGCTAGGAAGGGACGTTGGAGGGCTTTGAGTTCGGCTTTGTATTTATCAGCTTGTTGTTGTTGTTGTTGGTCTTGCTCCTGGGCTAGGGAGCGATCCTGTGATGAAAAGCTGTTGGGGAAGATGGAGCGGTAGAATCCTAGCTGGACGATCGGGTCGTCTTCTGAGGGAGACTCTAGATTGGACGCGGTAAACCAGATTAAGGGACTTGATGGGGATAATAATCTGATCGGTTCCTTTGAGTCAAGTGATGGTTCTTCGGAGATGGAGATCAATTCCTGGAATCTATCTTCGAGATTGATAGTTGAAGCAGATTCTTTGAACTGTTTGGATGACTTGAAGCCAAGTTTTTGATGGTTTTGATTCTTGTCATCTGGGTTTGAATCTCCTGAATCATTCGAAGAATCTGATTCTGAGTCTGATCCGCTGAGTGAGTCTTGTAGGTCTTCGAGCATGTTTGTGAATTTGGCTTGGTCGATCGGCTTGTGACTGGTTGATCTGGTGGATAGCTTGAGGTTAAATCTATGCCAATCTGATCTGAAGTGTTGACGTTGTAATTCATTTGAGTCAAAGTTGCTATTACAGACCGTACAGCTAAAGCTGAGTAGGTTATCATTTTCCTGATGGGTTTCTTCTTCTATTGTGCTTGTTGACTGCTCCTGTGGTTGGTAGTAGTTGGTTTCGGCAGTGATAGTCTGTAGTGAGCTGATCAGTTCTTCTGGTAAGCAGAATGAGTGCAGTTGTTGTTGTTGGACTGTTTCGTTCATCCTTGTTGTTGTTGTTGTTGTTGTTCTTGTTCTTGTTGACCGTCTTCTTTTCCGATGAGGTTGTTGTTGGTTGTGGTTTTTGTTGTTTGTCCCCCCGGGGAATCGGATGTAGGATAAGCCCCCCGAGCAATGCTCAGGGCCCAGTGCCCGCACTCGCCTCGCGCTTGTCGCAAGTTGCGCGAGTTGAGCCAAGCCCCTCGTGCTGCGAAGTGTGAACTCACCAATTAGCGAGCCTTCACAACCACCGGGGACTTTGTTAAGTTTACCTTGGCTTTACCGCATATGGCGCTGTCCCTGTACACCCATTTGGAACCCTCACTCCAAAGGCCTTATATGTCTGAAAAAGCCCACCTGTCAATTGGAAATCTCCAGCTGAAATTCACAGATCCCATGCAGCTCAAGATAGTTTTTGTGTTGGAAACCGATCTTAGTAGGTTGAAAGCCTGCCTGAGAAAGGATCTCAACCCTGGTTAAGCTGAAATTGCAAAACCCAAAAATTTCCCTATCCACACAAATTGAAACTTGAAGCTTGTGTGAAAAGTCTTGTCAAGTTGATGATCAGATCATCTAAACTGATGAAATCACATACCTTCCTTTGAAGTAAACCCAAGAAGATTTGAATGCATTCTTCATTTAGTTGATCAGATCACTTGAATGAAGTAAATTTTTGGTCAGTTTTTTTTTAAGTTTTGTGGAGTGTCTTTGATCATCTCCTTTGAATTTGCTGTTACTGTTAAGATATAGTAGAATGTTTTTTCCATCAAGAGCTGAGCCTGGTAAAATCAAGCCCTTCTCTTTACTGACTGCACAATGTGGGCTAAGAATAAAATAAAGTCATGCTATATTTTGATGCTCCTTGAGATAAAAGCCTCAAGAGGGAGTGAGGGGTTGATCCTTTTTTCATGTTTGAATTGTAGATGGTATGTTGTGATATTTTGGACTAATCCTTTTTTCCATTTTTAAATTGTAGATGGTATGTTGAAATATTTCGGACCAATCAGCTTTGGTAGATCCGATTCTCAACAAGACTCTTTCCAGAAATCGTACTTGGGGCAGACTGGTGGTCAACTGAAATCGACAGTCCGCGCATTGATTAATCAAGCCCATGATTGTTGATAGAGAGGAAAGAGTTGGTCGAAAAAGTTTCCCATTTTATTGCACCGCAAAGTTCTCTTGAGGTCAGTGATTGTGACTGTAGGCGTAGCTCAAATTCTTACCGTTTGAATAGACAGAGGGTCACAAAAAAAACACGCTGACGACGATGAAAATCTCAGCTTTACAAAACAAAAGAGACGATTGGACGACGGCCGTTCTACCGACCTGATGCCCGATGATGTTATGGGTTCGAGTGGCAAGCCCTGCTCACCACCGGCGCCGGGTTTTCCAAGCGGAGGTCAGAACCGTCTACTGCCTAAGACTGCCACAGATGTCCTCAATCACGGAGAAGGAATCGAAGGCGTCTGTGGCGTCCCTTCACCTACTCCTTCTCCCTCTTCTTGATCGGTTATCCTTGATCAATCTCATTCTGGTCTTTGAATTGATAATTATTCCTAGTTTTGATCTCATTTTGGATGGTCGCCGAGCTGAAGAGCTTCAGATGATTGCAGGCCTGTTTGGTCGAATTGCCTGCTGGGATGGATAGCAATGAGGAGGGAATGGAAACCATAGCCAATTTTAACTATTTATAGCGTCAAAGAGCCACATTGTCTGCCACCATCACCGTCGCCGAGTCGTTAAAACTTCCCCGCAATTATATCTAAAGTCAAATTGTAGCAGTCAGCACCTCGGATCGAATCCCCTCTCAATCAGATCATCACCCCCATGAAGTGCTCAGCAACAGCCTGGTTTTTGGCCGCACTAATTGGCGGGGCTCTGCTTGGCCTGATAACTGCAGCGATCGACTGCCCTATCTGTGGCAGCCAGTCTACCCAGGTTGAAGTGAGCACAACCCAAGCCCAGTGCCTCCAATTTGTCATCTGTCGCCATGGTGTTTCTCATTACACCTCGGGCAATGGTGGGCCAGTTACACTAACCGTAGTGTTAGTGTAGCGTAGTGTTATCTTTTTAAGCTACGCTACACAAAAGTTACTGTTAGCGGGAATTTTTGGCCCACTAACACTACAGGATTTTTGAAAAACAAAAAAACAACTTTAGCGTAGTGTTAGCTACCTTTAAAAAGGCACAACTAACACTACCCAAAATCCTGTTAGTGAAATTTTAGCGGTGTTAGTGGGTGAACCCACTACACTACATGTTAGTATAACTTTTTCACCAGTTACACTAACAGTTAGTGTAGTGGTACCCTCAGTTACACTAACTGTTAGCGTAACTGGTGAAAAAGTTACACTAACTGTTAGTGTAACTGATTAAAAGTTACACTAACTGTTAGCGTAACTGACTATGTAGTTACATGACCACATGACTAGTGCTAGTCTACCCTGAAGACAGTGCCTGATTGGGGGGCCTACATCCAGATCCCCTCAATTGATCATCATTTTTTTTCAGTTGGTAATGGGGGCCACTCAATTTTAGCCCCCTGCCATTTTTTCACACTTACTTGTAAGACCACATTCCCCTGTCAGACTACCTTAAGACCATGGGTTCAATTTCCCACACTTACTTGTGTTCAATTTCCACTTTCACATCATGCACCAAGGGGGGGAAGGGGGTGTTGAGGTGTATGATAGTCTGATACCATTATGTATCACCAGAGTGTGGTGGAGCTTTTGGCTTGGGCCATGACAACTACCACCCAACTGACCTGGAAAACACAAGCATCTGTAGCCTAGTTGGTAAAGGAAGCACTCTGGTATGTGACTCAGCATTGCTGAGGTTGTGAGTTCAAATCTCACCAGACACATCCTCAGTTTGTTTTTCTCCACATCTTGTGCTGTTCATTTTCTGCGGGATTGTGTGCGATCACGGGACATTGAAAAGCGTCACCGTGGACCTCAGCCGTATCTTTTTTTTTTTTTTTTTTTTTTTTTTTTTTAAGTGTAAGTTTGGCCTTTGGCATTGCACACTATGAATATCATTATTTCTACCTACAAGCTTTTTGTATGTTTGTAGCATGATTTTTTCCTGTACTTGGTCTATGGGGGCAAGTTCTGTAGAGGATGCGGGAGTGTAAGAGACAGTTTCATCTACTTAAGGATTTTTATAGTTGGGGGACAGATTGGGTGCAACCATTTTTCAGGCTGATTCAAATTGGGTAACGGGTGTTGAAAGTGAAATTGGGGGTTTTTATAAAGGGGACAACTAATAAAGGGTTTGAAAGTGAAAATGGGGTAGTGTGTAGTTGTCCAAGATCGGAAGTGGTAGCGGCCAGGGGTTGGGTCTGCCGGGATTCGAACGCCGGACTCGTCACTCTCTTCGAAGTGATTATACTATGTCGTCGCAGGGGAGACACCAAGCTTCCGTGGGTGATGGTTACCAGGTTTACTGCAGTCTTACTTTCCTTTAAGGATGGCTGTTATTAAGCGGAATTAATCTACGCCTCCTAATCAAATGAAACTGAGAGGGGTACCTGGTATTGATATGTCAATCCGGCCACTATTTTTTAGATCTAAGATCAAGGGTCTTTAAAAGGCAAACCTATGTGGTTTTCAGTTATACCACCAAAACAGAGAATATGATGATGACTTGATTTGATGTAATAGGGGGTATCAAATATAACGAAATCCACCACTTTTTAATTGACTGGTTTCGCGAAATCCACACTTACCAAATCCACCTTTGCAGTGACCAAATAACCTACTTCTTTTGTCAGGGGCGTATCAAATATAGCCTAAATCTACCCATTTTTTAGCCCAAAATTCTTGAATTTCAAATTTAAAATCCAATTTCAAATTTCAACCATCCCCCATCCTCCACGATTCCCTCAATCCTCCAGGATTCCCCACAGCCTCCACGATTCAAACCCCACTCACCCCACGGCTTCTTCAACATCTCCTTTTAACTAACCCCTGCAAATCACTTGTCATCAAACCAACTCTGATCAATTGATTAGTTCAAGGTATTTATCTTCAACTGAACTAAGTTATATTTTAATGGCCTCACAAATTTGCTATTTTTCCACTACTTGCACCCAACAGATGCCACCAAAAAAAGCTTCCAGAATCCCAAACATACGATCGCTTCAAACCCCTCCAAAGAAGAAGAGGGCCACTCCCAAAAATACACGATCAAAGAAGAACGAGGAGGAACTTGGCTCATCCCAAGGTCATCTAAAAAGAGAGGACTATGAAATCATCATCGACTGGCTCAGAGATAAGAAAAACTATGTTGCGTGTTTTGGTGATGGGAAGGCTCCTGCGATTGGACGACGACCAAAGGCGATGATAAATGGTTACGAGTTGATGGCGATTCACCTGCAAAATGTATCTCCGACTAAGATCAATCTCACCCCCCGACAGATGAAAGATCGTTTCAAGTCATACAAGGACAAGTATAAGAAAGCTCATACGAAATCTATGTCAACTGGATTTGGTCTGACCCCAGCTGATCGCAAGGCTGGAATAACAACGATCGAGGAAAAACTTGAAAACATGTGTCCTCTCTATGCTGAAATGGACGAAATCTTTGGGAAGCGGCCTGACGTCAATCCATTGTTTTTGGCCGATGCAGAGGATCAAGACGATGAAGATGATGAATCTGGATCCTCTTCTGAGCATGATGGTTCCGATTCCTCATACGATTCAGACAAGACGGATTCATCCAAAAGTTCTGAGTCCACTGCGATTCACCCTTTGTTGAAGAGTGCTACTTCACAAGTCGATATCGTGGCCCTGGAGCAAGAAAACATGGGAGATGTAAGTCAATTGGATTCATTTGTTGTCAGTGTTCTGTTCGCTGATTTGGAAAGATATTGCCTTGTCTAACAGAGAATGGCATCTCCAACTGGGCAACTTCCAATGGATGACGAGGCAGGCGTCCAGGCTGGGGCAACAGGTGTAAGTGGCATTTTTTTGGTGATGGAAAAAAACTACAACTATGTTGACTATCTTCATCTTTCTCATCCAGGAACCCACTACATCGGGTGAAACTGTCCGCGATCCAGCTTCAAAGTCTAAGGCTGTGGGGACCAAGAACAAGTCACCAAAGAAGAAGAAGAACAAAAGCGATCGTGTGCAATCTACAAGCAAGGCACCTGCGCTGAGCGACTCTGGTGAAGACGATTCTGAGTACAAATCCCCACGGAAGAAAACGAGTGCAAAGAAGAAGCGCAAAAGAAGGTCTTCGGGATTGAATGCTGGTTTGACACCCGAAGAGCTTGCATTGGACAATCAAACCGACGAGGACTCCTC